ACTTGGACATATACCGACTTTCCAGTTTCAACCAAACTTTCGTCGGTGATTCCTCATCCATGACGTGATACATCACTTCATCAGCCAGACAAAGCCTAATAGTTGCCTCAGCCTTCGCTTCCAATTCTTTCCAATCTATGTCGTCCATTCCTGCTGGTTGTTTTCCGTATAACGCCTTCACCATGCCCTGCTGCACTAACAGGTCCTTCACCCTCCTCTGCCATAATTCGAAATTTCCAGTTCCGTCGAACTTCATGATGTCAAATTTTGTAGAGGAAATCCTAGACATCGTAGTCTAGCTCTGATACCAGTTGTTGTGATCGTGTAGCAATTATGGTGAATAATAAGGAATCAAACAATTAAGAAAGCAAGAGAAAATAACACACAGAGATTTACGTGGTTCGGTAATGTGCCTACATCCACGAGAGCGAGCGGCCATTCTTTTTCATTATTAAAAGTAAGGTTACATCTTAAGTATTCATATAACTCTAATACGGACGTATTTATAAAAATACCCCTGTACCGTACCCCCAACTAATCAGCGTCCCCTTTATACAAATCCTGCAAGGCAAATGTCGTTGCGGGCTCCGCTCCAGCATCTGCCTCATTGCCATTGTGCACACAGCAAATATGAGCCACACATACTTTAACACATGCATATTAGGAAAAGTAATTTAGATGTGCTGCACAAGGTTGAACAAGGCGAATAAAGAGGATTCTAGAGATTTGGAGTCATTTTCTGTTTGCTTGATCTGCATTTGCATTGTTGCTTCCCCCCTTCTTCTTTTTTACTACATGTTTGTTTTTCCTTGTATGAGCTTAATGGGGTTTAATGCTGTATACTTCAGGATATGCAAGCATATGATGAGATCTAAGACATCGCCCCAACAACCAGAGGACGCTGGAGACTTGGATGAAAGTGACAAGCAAGACGACATGTGAGTAGACTGATTTAGATTTTGATAGTTTTGTGACACCATACAACATGACTCTGAAAAAACCAGATCAACTGCAATGATACTGGTATAAGTTTGCACAGATTATTAACTAATTTACAACATCTTTTGCTCCTCAACCACGGTAACGTCTCACCAATTTGGCTGACTAGCAATATAAGAACCAAATTTTGCCTGTTACTTTGTGACGATCTCTCCCAAACTGAGTAGCTAACCATGCAATCACTGTCTTTCACTCGTTCAACACAGGCTCCTTTTTCTTGTCTTCCCAATTTTGCAACCGTTCCTTGGCATTCACCACCTGCAAATTCAAATATTTCACAAGTATGATGCATATAAGTACCCATAATGAGTACCACAAGGACACCTCTTTTTGCTTGGAAAAAGTAAAATATGAAAGGAAACACAAACAGAGATGGAGATGATTGTGCTGACTTGACGTGGTGTAACTATTGCACTCTATATTTACTACTAACTAGGGCATACTAGGATTGTGCAAAGGGCAATATCTTATAATGTTTATGACCAATCGGGGTCAATAAAGTTAAGAGAGAATTGTTCACACACTGAACCACATTTTTAAGTGTTTATTTCTTGCTGTGTTTCGCCAAGTGTCAAAGAGATTTCAACCAACTTATATTTTGTTGCCACAGGCTTGTCAAATTCTCCGGATCATAACATTTTATTCTACTCAGCTTCCTGGTCCAAACTATCACTGCCGTGAGGTAAATAACCAACAGAACATCTTCTTATATCATTTTATTTTGCAGCCCTTATATGATAAAAACCCCTTTGTGTTATTATTTTACATAAATTTGTTTGTAATTGTGCACATTAAAATTCACCTCCTATAGGGTTCGAAGCTTGCCAGGCTGCCTCGTCCAGACAGTGTACTGGAAGTCTTATTAATTAATTGTAAGTTGCATTTGCCTTGCTATCCTCTCCCCTTTGCTTACTGGTTCTGATTATTCCAACTCCGTGCTCATCTGACGTTTATGAATGTGCAGTCCCTCGGGGTGTGCTTTATGGTTGTGGGGATTTGATATTTTCGTCTCATATGATCTTCTCTCTAGTTTTTGTGCGAACATATCAGAAATATGGCATGCATAGGTAATTTCTCTTCTATTCATGGTAGATGCAGGTCTAAGTTGGGTAACACTTCTTTAATAATTGTTGTCATTGGTGTAGCTAATTTGTGTGAATGAAACTTCATCACTTATGTTTGGTTATTTAGATTTTAGTGGAATGAGAAAATTATTTAATTTAATACTGGCAAATAAGAGCATTTTAATTAAAAATGGTGCCAATTTCTTTTTTGTAACTTCAAACCGTTTCTACCCTTCAGATGATGTGTTTCTTTCTCTTGCTGAGTTACATTATCTTTGTAGATATTATTTTTAGGTTTTGTGAACAGGATGATGAAAACCAACAGGCTACTGTTGGAGAGGTTTATAAAAAAGTAAATAAAGAAAAAAAAATGTGTATGGAATTAGAAGTTAGCAAAATCAAAAATGAAAAATTACAACTTGAGTTTGCATCCCATCCCTGACCAATTGTCGCTTCCTAATTTTGTATTGCAGGTTCATAAAGCAGTGTGCTTGGTTAATTGTAGTAATTCAGAGCTTGTTGATTATTGCTTCCCGTAAACATTACACGGTCGACATCGTTGTGGCCTGGTACTAAGTGCATTTTAATTGCTGTTTCTGTGTTTGGATTTACACGCCTTAACAATTTTTTGATGCAATGCAATTATATGATTCTATTACAGGTATACCGTTAATTTGGTAGTGTTCTTTGTTGACCATAAATTGCCAGGTTAATATCTGAATTTTTTCCTACCTACATTATCTGTGATTCTCCCATTGTCTAGCACTGCTTTTTTCTATTGTAATATTGACTTTCAGATCCCTTTATTCAGATATGCCTGACCGTAGTGGGGCGTTCTTCCTACCGTTGAGCAAGGACAGCAGGGCTAAAGAAGAGAATCACAAGCCCTTGAATGGGAATGCTGGTGATCCTGCGGATTGGGTATGAAAATCATTACATGCTCTTCTTCTGCTTTGATATTCAAGTTACATAAAGTTGTTCAGGTGCAAAGAATTGGTTTAGACTGTTTACTGCCGTGTCTGTTCAGAGGCCGAGAACTCAAGCCAATGGCAAGATTCTGGAAGACGGCAACACCATACATGCAGAGACGGTGATGAATGGTGTATAGATGATAATAGTTTGGTTCGTTGCCACTATTTAAGATGCTACAAGGACTGCCATTGCTACTTGTACAACTTTGGGTCTAAAGAGTCATTGCTCTGTTTCGGGAGAAGACTGGCAAACTTGTATTGTAGAAGATGGAATTCGGTGTTGGCGCTTTGCAACTTTTTAGGATATTGCTTCTAATGGTTGGCTGATGCCCCATTCATTTCATAAAGCACCTGCATGTAATGTTGGAATTTCAGTGTTTCTATATCTAATCATTTTTCCACCATATATTGCCCATTTCACTAGCATTCCTCGTGATTGTTGCTCTCTCTCTCTCTCTCTCTCTTGGGGTCAAATACTTTCCATCGTTTCAAAGAGTTCACTTTGATAAGTATCAAAAAATGGGTAACTTAAGTAATGAATTGTTAACCTAGACGTACTGAATTTGAATCTTGGCAATCATTTGGTTCGAGTCATGAGAGATTTATTCCTTATAAATACCCTAGTTCTAGCTTGAATGATTTATTTTTGACTTAAATTGAAAAAAAATTAATCGAAATACGTGCAAGTTAGTTTATACATTCCTGATTGTTGAACAACGAAAAATAAAACATGAGATGGCTGTTATTAACGGCACGACTATGGACTATGGAATATGGAGTGTCATGATCCATTCTCAGTCCTGGAATCAAGACCAAGGTTGAGTTGGAGCCTGAAGTCTAGGATAGGTTGGACCTTAAATTAATCCAAGTTTTGCATGCTGAACTCAATTTTTTAGGGGTGTCAATTTTACCACTCCCTCAGTTTAGAATGTGTAGAGTGAAGTTATGTAAAAGAGAATAATAAGCCTCGACGACTAGTAATAAAAAAATGGTTTTGAATCAAGCAATCTAATTCTAATATAATAAACTGACGAGGTTTTCCGTCTATAGTGGGAAAATCAAAGAAAGAAATTTTCAGCACAATACGTGAGAGGGTGTGGCAGAAAATACAAGGATGTGGATGGCAGAGTAAGTTGTTGTCAAAGGGTGGTAAGGAAGTTCTCATCAAAGCAGTGGCCCAAGCGGTCCCGACATACACTGTCATGCTTCAAACTACCTATATCTCTATGTAATGAATTACACAGCATTATGGCTAAATTTTGATGGGGTCACAAAGAAGATGAGAGGAAAATTCACTGGGTAAATTGGGAAAGACTTTGTCAATCTAAGAAATCGGGCGGCTT